CAAGATCTCGGGGTTCCGGTCTCCGGGGACGATGTCAGACAAGATCTCGGGGTTCCGGTCTCCGGGGACGATGTCAGACAAGATCTCGGGGTTCCGGTCTCCGGGGACGATGTCAGACAAGATCTCGGGGTTCCGGTCTCCGGGGACGATGTCAGACAAGATCTCGGGGTTCCGGTCTCCGGGGACGATGTCAGACAAGATCTCGGGGTTCCGGTCTCCGGGGACGATGTCAGACAAGATCTCGGGGTTCCGGTCTCCGGGGACGATGTCAGACAAGATCTCGGGGTTCCGGTCTCCGGGGACGATGTCAGACAAGATGTCGGGGTTCCGGTCTCCTCACATGAACTCGTCGTCTTTGGTGGAGCGGATCCGGCTGTAGGCGTCGATGACGGCAGGTTTGCGCACCGTCTCGCACCGCACGTATTCTTTGCCGTCTTCATCCCGGAACGTGCGGTAGATCTTCAGACAGCGACCACTGGCTGCGGAATTTAGACTGGTCACCGAAGCCGTGTCGTCGTCTCTGTGGGAGCCTCCGGAAGCAGCGGAACCTGTAGATGGAAAGAAGACCCGTCAGCGACCCAAAGACGTCACGGAACCCGACAGCTGAAAGCGGGAACATCCTCACAAAGAACAATATACAGCGGGAGGAAATGTCACCACGACAACGACCTTCCCGTCTGTTAAAGGAGAAGTACGGGGTCGGGGCTTTCCCCCCATAGTCCTCCTCGGGGACACAAACTAGCGTCCTCCCGTCACCCTGGGCTCAGTATATAGGGAGCTACAGCTCGCGGTATACTGAGACGCCGCAGCCGGGACAATTGTGCCTGGCTCCGCCCAGCTGCGTGAGTGACAGCAGGCTCCTCCTATCTAGAGGCAGAGCCAGCTGTACCCGCCCCCTCCCCCGTCCGTTCCGCCAGTCAGCGCTGGAGGATCGGGGAAGGGGGGAAACCCTGCAGGGAGCCGTGAGTGACAGTCACCACTCTCTGCAGGGAGAAGTGAGCGAGCGCCGGTATGTGTTCCCGATCTACTGAGCCGACCTGTGACAGTCTCATTGTCACACGTCGGCTCAGATTATGGTGGGCGGTCTTTATTACAGGAGGGGGCGGAGACAAGACCAGTCACCCTGCACAAGGAGAGAGAGCAGTCACTGGTCTTTATTACAGGAGGGGGCGGAGACAAGACCAGTCACCCTGCACAAGGAGAGAGAGCGGCAGTGACCGGTCTGTATTACAGGAGGGGGCGGAGACAAGACCAGTCACCCTGCACAAGGAGAGAGAGCGGAAGTGACCGGTCTTTATTACAGGAGGGGGCGGAGACAAGACCAGTCACCCTGCACAAGGAGAGAGAGCAGTGACCGGTCTTTATTACAGGAGGGGGCGGAGACAAGACCAGTCACCCTGCACAAGGAGAGAG